CCAAATTTAAATCTCGGTATTTTGTGTCGAATATATGATTCAGAGTTTGGTGTGACTTCTGGTTCCTTTTGCACTTTACATGGCCAATTTCGTATAGATTCATTATTGACTAAGAGTTTTTTAAGTATAAGATCTGGTATGTACAGAAAGGCTTCGCGATATTGTGAGAATGCCAAAACTATAGATAATAAATGTAAATTTCAAATTAATTAAATTTTTAAGTTCGATTTAAATATATATATATATTTATATTTATATTTAAATATATTTTAAAATTACATACCAATCATTTCTAAAATTGCTATCGTTTTATCCCATTGGAACTTTCTTCCATTGATGTTCGTTAATTGAGATTGCCGCGAAATGACATCAAACCATACATCAATCAATTCATTACAGCATGTAATAATATATCGAGCAGATGATTTCCTTAACATGTTGGATGTTGTGTATAATAATAATAATAATAACCATCCTGAATTTGTTGTTTCTAGCCGGTCATTGTGAGAATTCAGCATACACCGGAAATTGCGTAGTAACTTTCGGTATGACCTTCCTAAGGCATCCAATATACATTTACATGTTTTACCCGTTACTAATAAACCGCTGGTCAACTCGGTCAAATTGACATTAGAGGTTTCCGTATGTGTTATAATAAAATAAACTAATGTTTTGTACACACTAGTGTATCGTGTGTTAATAGCTAATGATGACAGATCAAGGTTTTTGTATACCAAAGTTTTTTCCACAATTGTGTCGACGGCAGAACTAAATTAAATTAAAATATTGAAATGAATTGGATTAAAACATTAAAATAATTAAATACATAATTTTAACCATTTATATTCATATATCTTACCTAATAGCGTCTTTCCATTTAAGCTCTAATGTGGTAATCAATTCTCTAGAAATATTAATTCTACTCACAATTTTTTCATCATCTAATGGTATCGATGAATAGTCAATTATGGGTAAAAGCTCTACGATAGTTGTTATAGCATTTTGCTTTGTGGTCAATCCGATGCACTTAAGCATCACCAGCCAAAAATGTTCATATTCGGTACCCCAACGATACGAAAGCATGGTTAATACATGATTAAGATCGAAAAAGTTATGGGGAGCAACAACTGAATGTTCAGATTGTTCAATCCAATTTGACAGGTGCGTAGTTGAAGATTGTGATAAAAAATGATTTTCTATGAACGCATTCAAATATGACTCCTTTTTAGAATTGAAATGAAAATCCATGACACACTCATCAATCTGATAGCAATAAAAAAAAAAAATTTTAAATAAATAAATAAATAAATAAATATTGATTTTTCATAAAATGAAAATAATACAAATATTATAATTATATACACACCACATTTGTCATCTGTTGAATAATGTAAGTACATCTTGTACTAATAACATTATTCAAATAAGTCAACTCGGTATGATCTATATTATCGTCATTAACAACGTATTGTTCATTAGCTAAACTATCCAGTAACAAGCATATAGGAAGTACATGAGGTACAACATTTGGCGTATCATTTGTTAACCAAGCCAATAGCCAGCCAGAAAATTGCATCCCAAAGAGGTATTGTTTCACTATAAAAATTGAATAATAATGAATTATTAAAAATCTAAACTTTAAGATGAAAAAAGATTATGAATAGACATACTTTGTTGACGACACGCATAAAGAAAATCGTGTGAAGCATTCAAAATAGCATATCATCTGTATGTTTTTTACGGAGAGTCTGTCCCATATTTGTTTTTCATGATCTAATTAAATACATGATAACGATCAGAGCGAATGAATAATCGAGTGATGCAAGCAGTCAATTGAATGCAAACAGTTAAATGCAGTCAATTGAATGTAAATAGTCAATCGAATGCAACAGTCAAATGAATGCAAATAGTCAATTAAATGCAACAGTCAATTGAATGCAAATAGTCAATTAAATGCAACAGTCAATTGAATACAAATAGTAAATTAAATGCAACAGTCAATTGAATACAAACAGTCAATTGAATGCAAATAGTCAATTAAATACAAACAGCCAATTGAATGCAAGCAGTCAATTGAATGCAAACAGTCAATTGAATTCAATCAGTCAATTGAACTTACCCTTTGTAAGTTCAGGATATTGGATCGTAAGACTAAGTAGATGAGATATAATTATTCGTTCACCCACTAATAAAAATATTAATAGTAGAAAATCATAATTAAAATTGTTAATTTTTTTTTTAACGGGTTAATCTGTATAACTTATAATTATTACCATATTTTTCTAATGAGGTGTTATCTTGAATATAATTATTTGCAAGGTCCAAGTAGTAGTCCAGCAATCCTACTAGACTTTGTTGAAACGCCACGAGGTCGACATCCATTAAGAATTCAAATATTGTAAACGGAACACTAAGGATATACAATTTGAGAAAGCAATTATTATAACTGTGTGAATGAATTACAAGGTCTCATTTAACTTTCAGAATGTTTAAACAACTTACCGTCCACTTAATTGATTCAACATCCAAATATTAAATTCGAAAAACACCTGCCATCGTAAGTCTGCAGGCACGTGATCGGCCGTCCATTTAATCATCCATAGCGCCTTAATTTTAGCTAAATTCTAGAAGTAAAAATTAATTACTTAAATGGTGAATAAATAAATAAGCTAGAATAAGCTAGATAAAATTGGAAGCTTATTATTACCTCAAAAAGTGCAAAAGGAACCAGAAGTCACACCAAACTCTGAATCATATATTCGACACAAAATACCGAGATTTAAATTTGG